TCATTGTTGTTTGGCGGGTCCGGGCTGGGGATTTGCACCCGCCACCTTAGGTGTACGTGGCTGGCGCCTTAGCCGGTTGAACTATAGGTGCCGAGCCTAAACATCCTTTCTATAAAAGAAAATGAAAACAAAAAAGTTACTGGCACTAAAAATAATTATTAAAGTGATTAATTTTTTAACATCATGAAAACCAGCTGCTGGTAGGGCTGAAATAAGATTGGACCATTTCAGAGAAAATAGAGGCATTTCCCCGATGACTTGTGGGACAGACTTGCATTTTTCTGTAATGATCACAGCAGTATTTCCCATCCCACAGTGGACTATAAATAGATTTCTAGGCTTCTGTAACAAAGTATCATAAACTGGCTTAATGGGCAGAAATTTGTCTCCCAGTTCTAGAGGATGGAAGCCTGAGATCATGGTATCAACAGATCAATTTGCTGTGAGGCCTCTGAGGGAGATTCTATTCTGCGCTTCTCTCCTACATAACAGGTTTGCTGGCAATGTTTGGCATTCACTGGCATGTAGAAGTATCACTGGCATTCTCCCTATGTGCATGTCTGCATCCAAATTTCCCCTTTTTATAAGAATAATAGTCATATTGGATTAGAGCCCACTATAATGACCTCATCTTAACTAATTACTTCTACAATAACCCTATTTCCAAATAACTTCACATCCTGAGGTATGGAGAGGTTAGGGCTTTAACGTATGAATTTTGGAGGAACACAATTCAATCCATAACACACATTATTCTAAAACTTTGCCATCCTCTCATTAAGAGGTAGAGTCTAATTCCTTTCCTACTGAATTTGGGAGGGTGTGTGACCTGCTTATAGCCAATAAAATGCAGAGAAAGTGACACTGTGTGACTAAGGCAAAAAGGGGAAGCAATTTCCACCTTGTTCTTGGGAACACTAATATTGGAGCCTTGAACCATTCTGGAAAAGTCCACCAACTTAAGGCCACCATGCTGTGAAGTAACCCAAGTAGAAAGAGGACATAAGGAAGCAATCAACTGAATGACTAAGTCAGCTATACACATGTATCTGATAAAGATTAATATACAAGATATAGAAGGAAATTCTGGGTGGTGCCTGTGGCTCAAAGGAGTAGGGCACCGGCCCCATATACTGGAGGTGGTGGGTTCAAATCCAGCCCCGGCCAAAAACTAAAAAAAAAAAAAAAAGAAAATTCCTACAAAGCAATAGCGAAAAAACCCCAACAAACAAAACCCACCAAATAACTTGATTACCAAATGAGCAAAGGATTTGAATAAAGAAGACATACGAATGGCCAATGGTATATAAAAAGGTGCCCAGCCTTACTAATCATCACGAAAAAGTACGTCAAAGCCGTAATCAGATACACCACACACCTGTCAGGGTGGCCATTATTAATAAAAGATAAATGTTGGCATGGATGTGGAGAAATTGGTGCCCTTGCACACAGCTGGTGGGAATGTAAAATGGTCCATTTACTAAGGAAAACAGTATGGAAGTTCCTCAAACATTTTAAAATAGAATTACCCTATGATCTAGCAATCCCACTTCTTAGTATTAAAATAATTGAAATCAGCACCTTCAAGAGGTATCTGCACTCCCATGTTCATTGCAGCACTATTCACAACAGGCAAAAGATAAAGAAACAACCTGAATGTCTACTGATAGGTGAGTAGGTTAAGAAAACGTCACACACACACACACAGAGGAATATTATTCAGCCTTTTTTTAGGAAGAAATCTTACCATGTGCAAGATGAATGAAACTGGAGGACATTTTGCTAAGTAAAGTAAGCCAGTTACAGAAGGACAAATACTGCTTGATTTCACATATCTACAGCAAGCAAAGTAGTCAGATAATCAGAAACAGATTAGAATGGTGGTTGCCAGGAGCTTGGCGGAGGAGAAAATAGGGAATTGCTGCTGAATGAATATAAAATTTCAGTTATGCAAAAAGAGTAAGTTCTAGAGATCTGCTATACAACACTGTGCTGTAGTTAACCATCTAACACATGTGAACGATAGTGGCATTTTCACATACTTTAAGAATGCTTTGTTGGGCAGCCTCTGGCTCAAAGGAGTAGGGCACCAGCCTCATATACTGGAGGTGGCGGGTTCAAACCTGGCCCTGGCCAGGGAAAAAAAAAAAAAACTGCAAAAAAAAAGAATACTTTGTCTTCAACAAAGCTAAGTAAACCAAAAATGAGCAATATTCTGAAGCCCAACAGTGCCTCAACAGTCACACCACCAATGCCATGAAATTTACAATGGAATATATTATTAATCTGTTTGGAACAGAATAAGTTAATTTATACTTGGTACCTTTTATTCTCACTTTCACTTTGTGTTACCTTTTGATGTTTGTTCCTGAGAAATAAAATCCGTATTTCCTTTGGACTTACAAACCAAACATGAAGAGCATGTTTTAAATCCACTTGTGATGTCTTGGCAAATTCTGGAGAAGTTTTGACAATTAGAGTGATTTAGAAAGATTCCCATGATAATCGGAGTTTCTCTAACTGGTTGCAGAAGAGTTACAAAAGAAAAACTGAGGTCCGAGAGTGCATAAGTGAAATTAGGTTGTAAACACACATCCAGACATGATAGCTCCAACACTCTTTCTGTAAAGAAAAAAAAAAACAATACTTTTTATACTGTAAAATTTTGAGTTTTGGACATTCAAATAAATACATAATACCCTCCCAGATTTTCTTAGGATTCAGTATAATTCAACTTATCAGTTTCAAGGCTTTTTTTCCCTAACATGAATTAACAATATTCCATCTATGTATTTCTTTTTTAAACTTGTCGACGTTTCCTACTGATTTTCAGAGAACAGATTTCCTTGTAGGGACATGCTTGGAAACACTACTATTTTAACCATTCTCTATTTGGGGAATTTTTAACGGGTAAACCTTAAGTTCTTCTGAATCTATCTGTTCCAAAATAGAGACTCAAGTCAATTTCATGGAGCTGAAGAGGCAATGAAAACCTTGGACAGGTTTTCCATATTAGTTTCTTTCTTTTTATTTTTTTTTAAGAGACAGAGTCTCACTTTGATGCCCTCAGTAGAGTGCATTGGCATCACAGCTCACAGCAACTTCCAGCTCTTGGGCTTAAGCGATTCTCTTGCCTCAGCCTCCCAAGTAGCTGGGACTATAGGCACCCACCACAACACATGGCCAATTTTTTCTTGTTGTTGTTGCAGTTTGGCCAAAGCTGGGTTCGAACCGGCCACCCTTGGTTTATGGGGCCGGCGCCCTACTCACTGAGCCACAGGTGCCGCCCTCCATATTAGTTTCTTAGCATCGCTGAAACAAATTACCACAACTCTTCGGTGGTTCAAAGCAAAATAAACTCATTCCTTCCACAGTTCTGGAGGCCAGAAGTTTAACGTCAGTTTCAACAGTAGCAAATTAACATGTCCACAAGATTGTGTTCTTTCTAAAGGCTCCAGGGAAGAATCTGTTCCTTAGCCCTCTTCCAACTTTTGGTGGCTACTAGTGTTCCTTGTTCACATTGCCTTCTCCTCTGTCTTTGTTTTCTACTCCTGTTTGGGTCAAATCTCCCCCCATCTCTCTCTTATGAGGACATTTGTGACTGGATTCAGAGCCCACCCAGACAATTCCAGATTATCCCCCCTTCATAACTGAGGTTGACCTTCCCATCTCAACATCCTTAATTATCTGACTTTGTTAGGTAGAGTCCCTCTCGTGGTTTTGTCCCACACACAAAAGGTGTGCCCAACACCCTACCCTGTGTCCATTCAGTGAGAGCACCGATCCCCCTCTTCCTCCCTTATTACCCATCCCCCCAATTGAGTTGAAATAAGTTTTTCACCTATGCAGGCTCAATAAAGGCCCCTTTCCTTATAAGGAAACGTTTTCAGGTTCTAAGGATTAGCACAGTGATATCTTTGGGTGGCCACTATTCAGCCTATTAAAACCTCCAAAGGCAAAATTTTACAAGGTGGCATCATAATTTTTACCTTTGTCTGAAGGCAGACATCAGATATGGAAATGATGATATAATAGAAAGAATACTGAGTTCAGAAACAAAAGATGAAGACTGTAACATCTGTCATTAGCCAAGATACTTAAACAATTTACTTAATCTCCGTGAGTCTAGTTTTCTCACTAGCAAAACAGAGACTGTAACTCTGGATCCTGCTAACCCCTGGGGTTGTATGTACATAGTAACATCAAGTAGTATAGAACACATGATAACACTTGAAATGTGTACAGAATGGATGTCATTTAAAAAGCAAACTCACCACCAAAAGTAAAAATTAAAAATTCATCATTCATTTAGGATGGAATTATCTATGATTTAATTGACACAAATAATCAAACCTCATGGTGAAAAAATTGAAAAATTGGGAATTCCTATTTAGCAATAATGATCAACTAAAGAAAAGGTAACTTCTCTTTCAGAAAATCCCATTCTGACAGTTGGTATGAGAAAATAACTGACATCGTCAATCAATTCCACCTTTATGTGGCTTCTTTACCATCCTCACATAACCATATGGGGCAAAAGTATTTTTAAGATTTCTAGGCTCGGTGCCTATAGCTCAACCGGCTAAGGCGCCAGCCACGTACACCTAAGGTGGCGGGTTCGAATCCCCAGCCCGGACCCGCCAAACAACAATGAC